TGTGGTGTAACGCGAGTAGTCGTCAACAACGAGCAGGAAGTAGCGCTCGTGACCCTCTCCACGGACGCGGGCCGGGCCCCACACGTCCATGTGAAGCATCTGCAACGGGGCCTCTGTCGGAGGAAACTGGGAGGAGTGAGGGGCAGCACGCTGGCGCCCCTCGACACAGGTGACACAGGCAGGGCCAGGGCCTTGAGGAAGGGGAGGGAGGGACCGGGGGATACCAGACACAAGAAGACGGGAGGCCATACCTCTGAGCCGAAGCAGAGAGGGGTGGCCAAGGCGGTGGTGCCAGAGGAGAGTCTCGTGAGACAGGAGACGACACGAACAGGGGGCAGACTCAGGACCAGACCCGGACGCCGCAGCAAACACCTGACCCGACGCAGCTACCCTACCAGACTCAGCAACTGGAGGAGACGCAGTGGTCAGAGTGTACAGGCTCGACCCCGGCTGACGGGTGAATGTAGCCAGGTGTCGGCCTGTGTCAGCCCCTGTACAGTGGGTCACTCGCCGACGCGCAGGAGTGAACTGGTGGACACCCGCATCTTGTAGGTCAGCACCACTCACCAGGTTCGTCGAGAACGAGGGGAGGTAGAGACCAGACGGGGTGCCAGAGGGAGCCGCTGGACACGGGAGGACTGTGGAGAAGCGAGACAGGACCGGACCCCCAGAGGGGTCAGCCAGAGACACCGCAACCGGCCGACTAAGCGGCGTGAGTGTGGTGCAGTCCTGAAAGAAGGAGCGAGACGCCCCAGAGTCAAAAGTGAAGGTGAGCGAGGCCGAAGCCGACGTAGTACCTGAGAGCGCAGACTCACCAGTACCTGAGGACGCAGACACACCACCACCTAGAGCAGCAGTGTCGTAAGCACCTAGGGCAGTAGCCGCACCTGTACCTAGAGCAGTAGTCTTAATGCCCGGATCGGGCTGGAAACACCGGTAACATTCACCCTCATCACTAAGAGACACAACATACATGGCAGAGAGAATAGCATCAAAGTCAAGATCAAAGATGGCAACCCCCGCCCTAGATAGCTCGTCCCAGCGAGGGATCTCTGAGGCCTCTGGGAACTGGTGCCGCCACGCGTCCGTCAGGCGGCCAAAGCAGCGCGGGGTGGGGTGCGCACCCCCACACTGCTCACCCGCCCGGTCGCCGGTGCGCAGGACGTAGGTGCACGGACCAAAACCCCCACCCCGCTGGCGTGCAGTGTACCACTCACGGAGCTGCTGAGGGGACAGGGTCGCACGACCACGCTGCTGCTGCTGGCGCGAGCCACCACCTGAGCCACTCCTCTGCGAAGACCCGTGACCAGCTCCACCGCCACCCCCACCGCCTCCACCGCCTCCGCTGCCTCCATTGCCGCCGCCGCCTCCACCGCCGCCTCCACCGCCGCCTCCTCCGCCACCTCCGCTCCCATTGCCACCGCCGCCGCCGCCTCCGCCTCCACTGCCGCCACCGACCCCCCCACCCCCACCTCCACCTCCACCGCCACCCCCACTCCCCCCACTGCCTCCACCTCCACCTCCACCGCCCGCTCCTCTAGCTCCCTTGCCCCTCTTGCCCTTGCCAGAGCGGCGTCTCCCGCTAGGGGCAGACGCCGCACCGACCGACTCAAGACCAAGGAGGTCGGCCGCAGCAGCAGAGGCAACAGAGGGCAGCAGGGGGGAGGGAGAACACCCCTCAAAGATGGGGGTGCGCGGGTCACCTCGAGAAGCTCCTACAGCGACTGTGCTCTTCTCTATCGCGAGGAGGGCCTTCTCGAGGAGGTCTACAGTGAGTGTGGTGGGACAGACTGAGAGGAAGTGGTCCCTGACTACTCGAAGGGAGTCAGGGAGGCGAGTGACTAGGAAGTACAGAGTGATGTACATGGGGGGGGGGTTCGCGGTGCAGAAGTCAGCAGGAAGTGCAGCGCGGTAGCAAGTGTCACTAGTGCGGAGGTGCGTAATGAGGTCAGCAACGGTGGGAAAGGCAGCAAGGTCAGGGAAGAGGTACGGCAGCATGAGACGGCTCAGTGCAGCAGTGGAAGGGGAGGAGTAGCGCGCGACTACAGCGTCGTACAAGGTCTGAGCACTCTTGTACTGACTAAAGTGCGCACGCTCAGAGGTAGGGAGGTGGCGACGCACAGCAAGACGTGCAGCAGCATCGCGCGTGGCCCACTGGGAGCGAACAGTGGCGTCAGCATTAGTAGCAGGGGCAGGGGAAGCGCCAGAGGTGACGTCAAAGAGAGAGAGGCCATCCGCCCTATCGCACTGTAAGAAGAGCTGTAGGTCATCTACCCAGACCTCAAAGTCAATGGCCCAACCCTCAGCGTCAAAAGCGAGGACACTAGGGGTAGCCATGACAGTAGGAGACCAGCAGTGCAAGCAGTAGGGGAAGGGCACACAGTGATAGAGGGTCTGTGCTCACCAGACAGGGCTGCTCGGGCGGCTCGGCTGCAGGGCGGCTCGGCAGCTGGGCAGCTCGGCGGCTGGGCGGCTCGGCAGCTGGGCGGCTCGGCGGCTGGGCGGCTCGGCAGCTGGGCGGCTCGGCGGCTGGGCGGCCGGCTGCACGGTGGCTTGGCTGGTGGGCGGCCGGGCGGCTCGGCTGCAGCGCGGCTCGGCGGCGGGGCGGCTCGGCTGCTCTGCTGCTGGGCGGCTCGGCTGCTCTGCTGCTGGGCGGCTCGGCTAGGCCGCTGAAGAAGGGCGGCGGGGCCGCTGTAGAGGAGCGGCGGGGCCGCTGCAGGGAGGGCGGCGGGGCCGCTAGATAGGGCGGCGGGGCCGCTGCAGAGAAGCGGCGAGGCCGCTGCAGAAGGACGGCGGGGCCGCTGGGTAGGGCGGCGGGGCCGTTGCAGAGGTGCGGCGAGGCCGCTGCAGAATGGTGGCGGGGCCGCTGGGTAGGGCGGCGGGGCCGCGAGATAGAGTGGCGGGGCCGCGCGATGGGGCGGCGGGGCCGTGAGGAAGGGCGGCGGGGCCGCTAGGTAGGGCGGCGGGGCCGCGCTATGGGGCGGCGGGGCCGCGAGGAAGGGCGGCGGGGCCGCTAGGTAGGGCAGCGGGGCCGCGGGATGGGGCGGCGGGGCCGCGATGGGGCGGCGGAGCCGCGCGATGGGGGGGGGGGGGCGGGGCCGCGAGTAAGGGCGGCGGGGCCGCTAGGTAGGGCGGCGGGGCCGCGCAATGGGGCGGCGAGGCCGCGAGGTAGGGCGGCGGGGCCGCTAGGTAGGGCGGCGGGGCCGCTAGGTAGGGCGGCGGGGCCGCTAGGGCGGCTCGATGCGACCGTAAGGGCGGCACGACGGGCCGCTAGGAAAAAAAAGGGGAGAGCGCGACTCGAGGCGCGCTTCGGTGGGCCCTAGGAGCAGTCCCTAGGAGGGGACCTGCTCTGATTCCATGTGAGAATGAGAACGAGAGAATGGATCAACTATGAAATGAGTGAGTACAAGTACTAACCCTAATTGGGTTGTACCCCCTATGGGATGTCCCACTATAGCCTACACAAATGTATAAGCTATATAGCATTCTGACAGCAGCAGCGTGGTCAGCTTCGCCTACGTTACGTGGCCTCTGAGGCCAACACTGCTGATGTGTTCACCAAGGCGCTTCAGCCTTGTGACCATCAGCGCTTTTGCACTCTTCTAGGCCTTGTGCCTACTGGACCTCACTTGCTTACTTCTTGAGTCTGATTGTACTGTGATCTCTATATATATACCTGCACGTTTACTCTTGTTAGGTTGTGATCATTGTACCTTTTGCTCTATTATAAACCTGCATGTGAAATGGTCTTGTGACCACTTGCTTGTGCTCGGAATTTGTGTGGTATCCTTGAGATCCACCCTGAGCTTGTTTTGCCTTGCTTTGCCTTGAGTGGTCTTGTGACCCCTAGTTCTCCCCCACTTTGCCTATGGGGGTGTGTCAAACATTATATATGTTGTGTTAGTTTAGGCTACAGTGGGTTAGCCTATGGGGGGTACACAATTCTAGGGTTAGGTACTTGTACTCATTTCACTGCTAGTTCATTCATTCCTGTTCAGTGATTCCAACACGTGGGGGGGGGGCTGATTTTTCATCGCATTGTGCAATTCTTAGCTGCAGCTTTCCGAGCCGATACCACTGTTGTCTCAATGCCGTAGACTTGCGAGTCCATCGGCGAGTTACATTCCATATAGCCGGACGTAGATTTTTCCAGTATTGTGTGCCTTGTTTCCCTTGCATAGGACTCTGGACCAGATAGCAGCCGCCATCTCCGCGTCCTCTTCCGGCGTCCACGTAGGTTGTTTCCCTGGACATTGCACACGGTCTTTACGCTTGCATCCGATAACACCGTTTCCTTCGGTGCCATCGTTGGTGTCATCTTGCTCGTCTCCAATATCCACTTCGCCGTCGGAATTTGTATCGTACAGCGACTCCTCAGAGTCGCTATCGTCATCGCCGTGGAGATCGTCGTCGAAAACGGTTGCTCCTGCTGCTTGCAGCCCGGGGACGGAACAGCTGCTCGTAGAACGTGGTTCATTGCGATCATCCGTAAGAAGCCGGAAGCGCAGTCGGTTGGTTCGCCGGGCTTGTTGCTCTTTCGTCCCCGTCTGGCGGGCGGGGGGTAACTATACATGAATGAGCGGGGGAACACAAATAACCAAATGATCGACAAGTTTAGTAACGTTGATAATAGTATCAGTACCAACTCAATTAGCAATGGTAGATGAGCTGGTTTCTAAGGTTATTAAAATCATTTCTATTACGTGTACTGTTTTTTATGTATGGTCGCCATTGTTAGTACTATTTTTCTTGTATTGTAGAAAGTCGTAATTGCTAATACTAATGTTGTTGTTATTATTGCAATTGATATTATTATGATTACCCACACATGCCTCCTTCGATTCATACGTGATAATGGCGTGTTGCGCCCGTGGCTGCAGCACGAGCAGTAGGAGGGGCGGAGGCTGCGTCCGTGGAAGCTGCAGGAGCAGTAGGAGGGGCGGAGGCTGCGTCCGTGGCAGCAAAAGGAGCAGTAGGATGGCAGCAGAAGGAGCAGTAGGATGGCAGCAGAAGGAGCAGCAGGAGGGGCGGAGGCTGCGTCCATGGCAGCAGAAGGAGCGGTAGGAGGGGCGGAGGCAGCGTCCATGGCAGCACAAGGAGCAGTAGGAGGGGCGGAGGCTGCGTCCATGGCGGCAGAAGGAGCTGTAGGAGGGGCCAAGGCAGCGGCAGGAGCGGTAGGAGGGGCGGAGGCTGCATCCATGGCTGCAGCAGGTGCAGTAGGAGGGGCGGAGACTGCATTCCAAGGCAGCAGCAGGAGCAGTGGGAGGGGCGGAGACTGCATCTATGGCATCAGCAGATGCAGTAGGAGGGGCGTAGACTGCATCCATGGCAGCAGCAGATGCAGTAGGAGGGGCGGAGACTGCTACTCCCCCCACTCCCCCAACTCCACTTACTCCCCCCACTCCCCCAACCCCAGCTGCTGCTACTCCTGTCAACTCCTTCCCTGCTCCATGTGACCTCTTTGGTCTCTTGCCAGTAGAACTGTCACGCAGCAGAAACCAGAGCAAAAGGATGTGGAAACAAAGAACGAGAATGAATGACTATGAAGTGAAGTGAATACAAATAGGAAACCCTAATGTGTTGTACCCCCTATGGGATACCCCACTATAGCCTACACAAACAAGTAAGCTATATGTTCTGACACACCCACATAGGCAAAGTGGGGGAGAACAAGGGGTCACAAGACTAGTCAAGCAAAGCAAAGCAAAGCTCAGGGTGGATCACAAAGTCACCACGCATTCCGAGCACAAGTTCAAAGGCCACAAGGCCAGTTCACATGCAAGATCATATATAGAGATATACAAGAGCAAGAGTATATATATGCGAAGGTACAAGCAAGGTCAAGAGGAGAGCAAGTGAGGCAAGACAGGCACAAGACCCAACTGCGTGCAGCAACGCTGATGATCACAAGGCGCAAGTGCCTTGGTGAAGACATCAGCAGTGTTGGCCTCAGAGGCCACGTACGCAAGTCGCAGCTGTCCACGCTGCTGTAGCTCACGAGCAAGAAAGTAGCGAAGAGCAATGTGCTTCGTTCTGTGCTCCAGTCGCTGCTCTCGACACAAGGCCAGCATGGCCTTGTTGTCTACGTACAGGACTGGAGGAGAACGAGGCTGCTCTCCAAGGTCGGTCAGCAGGTAGGTGAGCCAGCGTAACTCCTGTGCAGCCATAGCCCCAGCGTAGATCTCAGCCTCACAACTGGAGCCGAGAACAGAAGACGAGCGGGTAGCCCGCCACGAGACAGAACCGGAACCAAGGCTGAAGGTGTAACCCTGTGACGACCGCTGCGTAGCCTGGTCGTCAGCCCAAGAAGCGTCTGCATGCCCAGTGAGGACCACTGGACTACGCCCTCCAAGCACTAGCCCCATGCCCGACGTACTGCACAAGTAGCGCAACACCCTCTTCGCTGCAGCCATGTGCTCTGGTCGGTGTCTCCCAGGAGCAACAAAGCGTGCGAGAATGCTAAGAGGGTATGCGAGGTCAGGTCGTGTGCAGGTCATCAGCTACATGAGGCAGCCAACAAGCTCTGCAAACGGGCCACTCGACTCTACGGACTCATCCGAAGGCAGAGCTGAGAGCGAGTGGCGAGTAGGCAGAGGAGTGGCCTGAGGCGAGGAGTACGTGAAGCCGAAGCGCTGAAGGACCTGCTGCACCATGTGTGACTGAGTCAGGGTAATGGTGCGGCGTGCTCTGTCCCGGGTGATCTGCAAGCCAAGGTAGCTGCGCAGTTCACCCAGGTCAGTGCACGTGTGTCTCTTCAGCAGCTCGGACTTCACGTAGGCGAGTCCAGCAGTGTCAGCTATGGCAAAGACCAAGTCGTCGACGTACACGAGGATGTAGAACGGCGGCAGAGAGGTGTCGGTGCGCAGAAACAGCGACGGGTCGGCAGTGGAAGGAGCAAACCCAAGTGCCGCGAGCTTAGTCCTCAGTGTGTCGTGCCACTCACGTGGCGCCTGGCGGAGACCGTAGACTGGACGCCGGAGACTCCACTGGGTACCAGGAGGGAAAGACCCAGTGAAGCCAGGTGGGCGACGCAGCCAGATCTCCTCGTGCAGGCTGCCCTGCAAGAAAGCTGTGCTGAAGTCGAGAGAGTGGAGCTCGTAGTCACGGTGAGCAGCAACGTGCAGCAGCACCCGAAGAGTGGTCATCTTCGGGGTGGGGGAGAAGGTCTGAAAGTAGTCAACCCCCTGCCGCTGACTGAAGCCACGAGCCACGTAACGCGCCTTGAAGACAGGCGGAGAACCCGGCGGCCGCTTCACCCTGAAAATCCACATGCCACTGACGATGTTCGCCCCAGGAGGGGGAACAGCGTCAACGTAGGTGCCTGTGGACTTCCAGGAAGCCATCTCTGCATCCATAGCTGCCTGCCACTGAGAGGAGTAGGGACCCTCTATCGCCTCCGCGTAAGAGCGCGGAGTCGGGATGTCTGGTGCATCCGGGTCTCCCTCAGGGGCTAGCAGTACAGACGCGAGACGAGGTGAAGCGGCGGCCAGACACTGGAACTCCTCCTGCCTGTCCTCAAGGACGTCCGTGCCAAGGGCACACTCACCCCCGACGGACGGAGGACAGGCGGACTCAGACTCAGTGACAAGACGAGCAGCGTAGTCTAGACGACAGCGCGCAGCAAAGTCGACAAGCTCAGTGACAAGGGCAGACGCAGCAGACGACTCGAAGGAGGGGTCAGTGACAGCAGTAGCCAGGAGACGCGTGACAGTAGGACTGGCAGCACGAAGAGAGTCCGACTCCGGGTCGGCAAGAGCAGGAAGAGAGGAAGCAGGAGGAGAAGGCAAAGGGGCACGCAGAGGAGCAGTGGACGGACGCAGTGACATCCGGTGCGTGCCAGGGACAGGAGGAGGACGCTGACGCGACCCGCGACCACTAGCGCGCTCAGTACGAACAGGCGACACAGGACGAGACGCAGGCTCACGACGCTCAGTAAGACCTCCAGTAGGACCAGTGTAGGGAGAAGGAGCAGGCAAAGGGGAGGCAGGCTGTAGCTGTGGCTGTGACCGAACAGGCTGCGGACCCTCTAAGGGAGGAGGAGGAGGAGGTGTAAGACCAAGAACCTGCTGCAAGAGCGGAACGAAGTACGGTCGGGGCCGCGCGGCGACGCTAGAAACAGCAGGAACAGCACCAGCAGCCCCGGCAGGTGTACCCACTCCAGCAGCACCTCCAGCAGCACCACCAGAAGCTCCAGAACCTCCAGCCGCAGCACCAGGAGCACTGTCAGTCGGACCGCCAACGGCAGGCTCAGCGCCAACACCCTCAGCAGGACCAGCTCCAGGAGAACTCTCAGACTCAGCAGCTCCAGCACCCACAGTACGAGCACCGGCGGGGCGCGCAGCAGCAGTACCCTCTGCAGCCGAAGAACCACCAGCACCACCAGCACGCCTCCAGCGCCTGGCAAACCACTCACGCAGCTCCTGTGGGGAGAGTGGCTCCAGGCGAGACGAAGCACCCCCAGGCACCGCACCTCCAGGCTCAGCACCCCTAGACACAGCACCCCAAGGCACAGCACCCCCAGGCTCAGCACCCCCAGGCTCAGCACCCCCAGGCTCAGCACCTCCAGGCTCAGCACCCCCAGGCACAGCACCCCCAGACTCGGCACCTCCAGGCTCAGCACCCCCAAGCTCAGCACCCCCAGACTCAGCTCCCGCAGCAGCACCAGAGTCACCAGTGACCTCGACAGGCTCGACCGCGTCTACCTGGGACACACCTGAAGGGGCAGGACCCTGAGGGGGGAGGGGGACTACCGGGGGGGGACCTGGTACCAAGAAGAGCGGGGGCGGGGGGAGGGACGGGGTGCGGTAGGGGAAGAGGCGGTAGTAGGGTACCGACTCGTCGAACGTGACGTCCTGGGAGGACAGAACACGTCGAGAGGAGGGGTGGTAAAACTGCCACCCAGGGGCGTCGGGGGGGAACCCCAGGAAGACGCAGGGAGAAGCACGAGGGGACAGCTTGTCCGCAGACAGGTCGCGAACAAACGCCCGAGATCCCCAGACCCGGAACGCCGACGCATCGCCAACCTTCCCCGTCCACAGCAGGGCTGGGGAGGTCTCCGGTCGAGAGACCCTGGGGTGGAGGTTGATCTGGTGCGCAGCGTAACTGACCGCAAACGGCCACAGAAAATGGGGAGCAGCCGCATGCATCATGGACGTACGAGCGACGTCCATGACCATGCCAATGCGGCGCTCAGCAATCCCATTCTGCTGTGGTGAGTCCGGAAGCGTGAAGGTCTGACGGATGCCTCGCGCACGACAGTAGGCACTCAGGAGGCCAGAGGAGAACTCTCCGCCTCTGTCCGAGTGCAGACGCAAAACAGGGAAGTCAGAGCCAAAGCTCCTCCGAAGCTGGAGACGAGCTGCGCGGATCCAGTCGATCAACACCTCAGTGACCTCACCCTTGCTGCGCAAGGGGAAGACTGTGGTGTAACGCGAGTAGTCGTCAACCACCAGCAGGAAGTAGCGCTCCTGACCCTGTCCACGGACGCGGGCTGGGCCCCACACGTCCATGTGAAGCGTCTGCAACGGGGCCTCTGTCGGAGGAAACTGGGAGGAGTGAGGGGCAGCACGCTGGCGCCCCTCGACACAGGGGACACAGGCGGGGCCAGGGCCCGGAGGAAGGGGAGGGAGAGACCGGGGAAGACCAGACACAAGGACTCGCGAGGCCATGCCTCTGAGCCGAAGCAGAGAGGGGTGGCCAAGGCGGTGGTGCCAGAGGAGGGTCTCGTGAGACAGACGACGGCACGAGCAGGGGGCAGACTCAGGACCAGACCTGGACGCTGCAGCAAACACCTGACCAGACGAAGGGACCCTACCAGACTCAGCACCTGGAGGAGAAGCTGTGGTCAGTGTGTACAGGCTCGACCCTGGCCGACGTGTAAACGTAGCCAGGTGGCGACCTGTATCCGCCTCCGTGCAGTGGGTCACCCGCTGACGAGCAGGGGTGAACTGGTGGACACCCGCATCCTGGAGGTCAGCACCACTCACCAAGTTCGTAGAGAACGAGGGGAGGTAAAGACCAGTCAGGGTGCCAGAGGGGGCCGCCGGACACGGGAGGACAGTGGAGAAGCGAGACAGGACAGGCCCCCCAGAGGGGTCAGCCAGGGACACCGCAACCGGCCGACTCAGCGGCGTGAGAGTGGTGCGGTCCCTAAAGAAAGAGCGAGACGCTCCAGAGTCAAGGGTGAAGGTGTGAGAGGCCGAAGCCGACACAGTACCTGAGAGGGCAGACTCACCAGCACCTGAGAGCACAGACGCACTGGCACCTAGAGCAGCAGCCTCACTAGTACCTGACGCGGCAGTACCAATGCCCGGGTCGGGCGGGAAACACCGGTAACAGTCATCCTCATCACTACCAATCGCAGCATACATAGCAGAGAGAATATCATCAAAATCAAGATCATAAATAGCTACACCAGCCCTAGACAGCTCTCCCCAGCGGGTGATCTCAGCTGCCTCCGGAAACTGCTGACGCCAGGCG